GTTCACTCGGGGATGACTGATGGGTAAATTGGTATCTATTATAAAGACCTAATTTCCGTCGTTAGGGAAAAGACAATAGAGAAAGAATTGGGGTCAGAAAACTTTTGGTAGTAACTTGGAATTTCCCAACCTAGTCCATATTTGGATGAAATCGGAGTCAGTAAGGCGTAGGAAAATCTTGTAGCAATTGGGTAGTTTAAATATGATTTTGATTACATAAGTAGTTAGATAAGTCGTTAAGGAATCCGTATGACTTTACGGAATTGAATTAGGGTAAGTAGAACTCCCGTAATCGATCTTAGCGTGAACGGTATTTTCTGATCGTCATTGGTTAAAGGTGTGTTATGAAATGGGGGTCTTGGAAATTATTAAATAGCTCACTGTTTCATGCAAGCCGCTTTGGCGGTGCTGCGGTAGCGGGGTGAGGGTTGTTATGGTGGGCCAGATGCGTCTTAAAGTCGTAAATAAACCCAAGACGAGTTAATTCTGCACTTTTCAGTTTTTAGAGCTAAGGAACGAACCCTAGGCGATTCTTGACAGTTTTCCACCATTCTTGAGGCTAAAGGTAAGATTTTAACTCCTCGAATCCATTTTTCGATCCGTAGAACGTAATCTAATAGGTAAATATCAATGGGGAAGGGTTTTGATCTCGAATCTATGGTGGAAACAACCCTAATCTGGGTATGGGGATCAAGGTTTGACTTAAGGTTGATATTATTGATTATGATCCGGGTAATTGGGTCTTGATTGTTGATCCTTGCGTATAATTTGTTGTTTTGTAGACCTAGAACAAGCGGAAAGAATCCGGAAAGGGAAGATTCAAGTGCCTTAGGGGATTCAAGCTTGGATTCGAGGTAGGTGATGGTTGTGATTTCATGTTGGTGTGATATATGTTTGTAATTGCTCATTATAGTACATGTATGTAAGCGAATGTTACATTCTGGATCACCCTAATCGTAAATGAGGATAATTTAATAATTGTATGCCATGAATCACCTCTTGTTGTATGATTGTGAGAATATACATTGTAGTTGTGGTTTGTTGAATGGATCGGGTGTTACGTTCGACACACTAAATTGGATCGGTTGCCACGTTACGACATAGAGATGAGATATGTTACCACATTCCGGCATAAATATGGGATTGATTGCCACGTTTCGACATAAACATTGGATCAGGTACCACGAATCGGTATACTAACACTTTGGATTTGGGTTCCATAAGAGGACCATTGAATTTGGTTCCGTGAGAGGACCATTGAATTGTGTTGTGTATCTACTTATGATGATTACGTTTATGTCTAATGATGATTGATATTGGAAGACTGTATGTTGCTCTAAAATGATGACCAATCTGTATTATTGAGAACGTGGAATGATATATTGATCCTGAAAAGATAACTAATATTGTATATGTTTGGTATATGCCTATTTTATAATGTTGTGGTTACTTGCATGTGTTTCACTTATTGGGATAGCCACGTGATCCTACCAGTACACTGTGGTTGTGTACTGATACTGCACTTGCTCTTTCTTTGTTGAGTAAAGGGCATCTTCATGTGGCTATTGATAGACCTCAGCTAGGTGACTATTGAGCATGACCGAATTCAAGGGTGAGCCAGTTCTTTCAGGCTGCCATGGATCTTTCTTGTTTAAGTCCACTCTTTTCGGACTCCGATTTTTGTTTAAAGTGTTGTTTAGTTTCGGAGTTGTACCCCTTGTTCTTAGACTTGTCATTAGTAGAGTTTTGGTACAATGACTTTCCGGTTCTAGGGGTTGTTCTTCCGCATTAGTTAGGTTAGTTGTTTGTTAAAACCTTGGAGTTTATGGGGACTCCATTTTTATTGTCATTTAAACCTGTTTCCGTATCTTTAAATGCATTAGTTTTCATAAAAAAAATTAGTTTGGGTTGTAATAATGGTTCTCCCACCGGAGGGTTAGTGTGGGTGTCAATCACGATGGTCTGGGTCGTGACACAACATGGGTAAGATGTTGTATCATCACGAGGCTCATAGTGATGGTTGTCAGTTAGAGAAACTCCCAGTAAAGTATGCTTATATATATATATATATATATATATATATATTTCAGTTTAGTAGTTACTTTCATTACATCCATACATAAGATTATTAATTAAATTATTTTCATCTTAACTTATGCAATTATTCAGCTGAGCTACTTTTAACCTTTTTGTTCAGTTTTTTATTTTTATCAGCCCAATTACATACTTGTACATTCAATATATTGATTTCATTCAACCTATATCTTTTCATGATGCATTTTCAGCTACATAGGATCTTAGACAAGCATTTAGTTGAGATCACATCATCTGTTCGTTGGCTTTTGATGAGACCTCCTTGCTTTCGAAAGACTCTAGTTTAATGATTTGTTAGTAGTAGTATTCTAAGGTGACGTGGGTCTTGTCCCAACACCTATCTTTATACAGGAGAGGCTTCATAGATAGAATGTCTTGCAGTATTTAGTTTCAGATAATTTAGTTAAATCTTTATATTTAATGCTCAGTATTTTCAGATAACTTTAAAATTTAATAAGTAGTTTTTAAATAATTATTTAATTTTGATTCTTGTGTATGCTTGAGTTAGTCTTCCACTTGTAGTCATTCATGATGAGTGTTCGCCTGCAGACCAACAATTATTCTCAATTGTCGTCCACGTCAAGGATGTAGGCTCGGGTCGTGACATAATTACAAGTTAACCACAAAAAATCATAAAAAATTAAATTAGGCAAAGCCAATGCGGCCAGTGTATGCATCAAGTAAAAAGTCTCAAAAATCATATCACCGGCTGCCCCATGGCTCCCTGGGACAATTGTGGAACCCGCTTGAACTCATCAACATATGGAAAAAAGTAAAGATTGGAATTCATTATGTGCACCACTAGAGCTCAGCAATGTATGTAGTGTGGATGTAGTGCAACCCGAAATCATTCTTCGGGCATTCAATAACATAAAATAAGACCATTGTTCGGCTAACCGTAACAATCCATATATTTTTTGAAAAATTCCTTTAAAGTTTAAAACCTCATAAAATAGTATGATACCTCCGGAACCATATCTCTATAGTAAAATTTATAACTTTTAAAGTAAATATCTCTTTTAAAATAAGATTCCAAGAAAATGATACAATTTCTCTTAAAATGCCAAACTTTCCAAACCATGCTACTAACACAAAATGGACCTACAAGAGCTCATAAACTGGCAAAAATATCATACGACAACAATTTGTTTATTTGTGGACTAACGATAACTCTTTAATTATGAAAGCTTCTAAAAGGGGGAAACTCAAACAATACTCTCTCGACCACTTCTAGAAATGGAGAGGGAGAGGAAGAAGGAGGAGAAGAAGAAGGAGAAGAAGGAGAAGAAGAAGAAGAAGAAGGAGGAGAAGGAGAAGAAGAAGGAGAAGAAGAAGGAGAAGAAGAAGAAGAAGAAGAAGGAGAAGGAGGAGAAGAAGAAGGAGGAGGAGGGGAGGAAGAGGAGGAGGAGAAGAAGAAGAAGGAGAAGGAGAAGAAGAATATGAGGAAGATGAAAATGAAAAAGAAGAAGAAGAAAAATAAAAAGACAAAGAAGACGAAGAGGAGGAGGAGGAGGAAGAATGTAGAACAAGGAGGATAAGAAGAAAGATGCAGATAGAAGAAAAGAAATCAGACTTGCATTTCGATTGCAATAAAGAAGGCCGAATAAGCTTGTTTCATGTAAATTTTGTAAATTCAACTAAAAAGATGGTAAGTAAAGTGTAAGAGCTGACATTATGCATAATTTGTCATTTGTTAATTTATGTTTGGCCCAAATAAAAAAAAAGCCCATAAATAATTTTTATTAAAAAAAAAATCTCATATGTTAGATCAGTCACTTGATGGACGGACCAGATTAAGCTTAAGCTTCTATAAAATGGTCCTCTCTCCATCCATTAGGGTTGTTAAATATTCTCTACAATTTTTCATCACTGACGGCGGCTAGGGAAAAGAGGTAACTAATTTTTCAACTCCGCTTTCACTTAGTTTTTCTCATCAGGTATACCATCTATGTAGATTTCTATGTTAGATTAGTATGTTTAGGATCCTATTTTGTATGTTTAATATATGTGATAGTGTGAACTTTTGTGCTTGATGTTTATGTTTTTTAAAAAATATCTAGGGCATTAAAGGAAGACTAGAAAAGATCCTTAGGATATCTTTGTGGAGAAAAACTTTGATGAATATTTTTACATTGTTAAGGCTATTCATTGACAAAAAAAAAAAAAAAAATCAAATAAAGCCCTACAAGAACTCCTAAAAGAAAATTCATTATTTTAATAAATTTATAATAGTTGCACCATCAATCAATTATCACATAATGCTAATTTGGAAAAGAGCTAGCCATCAATATCATTCTCCAGCACAATTAATTAATGACATATGATCTAACTAATTTATCTTACTTACCCGCTTAGCCTATTACTCAACGTGTTATTACTTTTAAAAAGTAAGTTTATAAATAAAAATTTATTTATATAGTTTTACATAATAATATTTATTTTACTTAATTTAGTTCCAAAATAACTTTTTTAGAAAATTGTTTTTTTCCCAACACAATTGATATTAAATTGAAGTTATTGATTTTTTTCTTCAAACACTTATAAGAGCGATTTAATTAAGCGTTGATGCATATACAATTATTAAGTATTAATTATGGTTAAATAATATTATGTATTTTACTTTTAATTTATTGATTCTTAAAATTAATTATTTAATTATGCGATACTATTCAAGTAAATATTTACTAATTACTCTTAACTATTTTTTGACAAAATGAAATTCTTTTATCATGAATAATGACTTTACTTTTCATATTTAAGTTCTAAGTATGATTCATTTATAATATATCAATCTACTTAAATAAAAGTAGTAAATGTCAACTTTTGGTACAAACGTAAAATTACAAACCAAATTATAAATGAATTTGATTCTCTTCATTTCTCATGTCTCTAATAAAGGTTAAACTATGACGGAAGAGCTTGATCAGAACCAAAAGATAATGTCATTGAGGCGTGAAAGAAATTTTCTATTGAGGAAAGTTGATATGTTAGAAGCGATTCACAATGTTGCATTAGAAGCCGAGGAAATGAAAATTGGGGTCCTAAAACAGAAGCTTGACCAACTAGAGAGCACTGTAATGTTTTACAAAGGTGTATTTGATGCAACGGAAAGGGAAGTTACAGACCTAAACAAGAAGCTCCAGGAACAAGACAACAAGCAGTGGAAAATGAAAATGGGTTTATTGTATACTGTGAAGATTGCGTTGGCGAAGATTCAGATTAAAGAGTTGCAAAATAAAGTATTTGAAATGGAGAATAAATTGAAGATTCAAGACAATGAAATTTCTCAAAAGCTTATTAATGAGAACATACAAGTTGGTGAATCTTCTGGTGCAAACATAGATTGATATGCAATTTCTCAAAAGTTTATTATGTAATACTTCTACATGAATTTTGGTGACAATTTGTTTTTTTTCTGAAAAGAGCCTTTTTATTGGACTTATTTAATAGATTTGTAATCGCACTTTCATTGAATTAAATCATTTGAAAAAATAAAAAAATGAGTAAACATAAAAATACAAGGTAAGTAATTGAAATCCATAAACTACAGGTCGTATAATGTCCTTTTCACATATTTGAATGAGAAAATGTTTGACTTTTGTCCATTACAATATTTTTAAGTGTTGTAAAAAAAAAATTTTAAAAAAATTTGCTTAAGACTTTGTGTCACTTCTAATCAAGCAGTATTTTCAAGAAATTATTTTAGAGAATCATTTTTCTAATATTTTTTTAATACATAATCTATGTTGCCCGGATAAATAATATAAATATTTTTTACGTATTTAAGTTATGCAAATCTTTATTTGTTATATATTTTACAATATTCAAATGGAAATGTAGTGCATGAAAGCTCTCATTGTATTCGAAATTCGAGAATAAGCCAAACAAAGGTCTATTTTATGTAGCCTTATAGTCCCTAAATTATTTTGTACTAAAATAATTCTTATAGATCATATATTTGTCTAGATATATTTGAAACATGGTAAAAAAGTATATTTATTAGGTTAAGGATGGTATATCTATATTGATATACTCAAACATCTACATATAAAAAGTTACAACAAGCCAAGTTAGCATTTGACATAGATTTGATAAGATTTTGAAAATCTAATCTTTAAATATTTTTCAATTCTCAAGAAACTTTAAATATTCTTACCAAGTAAAATGCAGGTCAAACATCACTGTCACCCTTACTAGGTAAGTCAGAACCCAACTATAAGTAATATTTTAAATAATTTAAAATAAAGCAAGGTGGAAGAAAATTAGACAAGGAGTGGGGCCTTAGTATAGTTATATATATAATAGTACTAAGGATACAAAAATAGCTCGAAAGTTACCAAGAAAGCCATAAATATTTTCAAGAACAAACCTCAACCTGGTGTCATTGGTACAAGAGAATCTAAGTACATAAACAAACTATGTACAATAGTTTTTTCTAATCAAAATATAAAATATAGAGACAATACAAAAAAGGGAAAACAGTAAATCTCCAGATGGCAAGAGATTACCACGATCAAACAACGACGGCCTCAAGAGGTCTGGAATCAATGGGTGTCACGACCTAAAAATGAACGTGATGGATGTCACAATCCAAAAATGGATGTGATGGCACTCCTCTTATCCCACAAAGAAAACTTTGCCTAAAACCCATATACTACAATAAAATGCGAAAGTAAAAAAAAGTTTAACAATAAATAAAAACACAGATAACAAAGTGAACTTCATTAAACCATCAAACCCTGATTGTCACGGCATATGCCAATAATATAGTACAACAACTTTGAAAGGAAACAATCAAATATCAATGACATTGTCTCTAAAGTAGAGCAAGATCATAAATAGGAGTAAGAGGTTTGCTGGAAAGGAAAGCAACCACCTCACAATACTCCATAGAAAGCCTCATACAGGATGGGAAGATGGAGTATCAGGAAGATTCAGGCTCGTATGTAGTAGTAAGGGGTCAGTATCAAACAATACGGTACCCAACAAACAAACTCATAAACACAAATTCAAGTAATATATAATACGAGTACTCTTAACACTCCAACCGAATATCCACAAATACAACCTACATAAAACCAGCCAAACCTAACATTGCACAATTTAAATAGCTTATAACTCAATGACAACACTCTAACAATTTTAGATCAACAATACACAAGATAAATATCATCAATCACAAGTTCAACAGAAAAACACTCACAAGTTCACCATGATAAAGATATGCAATATAATGAGAAGCAATGCCAAGTATGGTATTGCATGCCTAACCTAGTGATACACACCCTCTGCCTCTTAGTCCGGAAACCATGTTGACATATATGTCCATACATCTGTCATGACGTGCAACATGGATCTGGATAATAGAATCCCTTATGGTGAATGGCACATCCCTCAATTAATTACTTTCTATGATTTATAGCCGTAATTATCAATTGCAACATTCCAGTTGTAACACCCCAAATTTTTTTAACTTAAGACCCAAATCATTCTTCATTTGTGAATAAGGTCGTATCGGGTGATTTTTAAATTACCCATATGTGTAAAGTTCAATTCTTTAGTGTGTGAATGAATTTTGATATCAATTAAGGTCAATAGAATCTCCTAACAAAAAGTTGAGTTGAAAGTTTCCTTACCGATTAAGTTTTAATGTAAGATTCTACTTGGGTCAGCTTCAAACGACCATATCTCTTAGAATATAAAGAGTTACGTGGCCCATAGCCTATCAAATTAAAGATATTTCAATCCTATTTTTAATGCCACCAATTTCGAAACAATCCAAATTTTGAGTAAAAAGTTATAACCATTTTAGTAACCTGATATAGTGCAGTGACAAATTCGCCGACTGGAAAATATTAAAAAGGGTCATTTTTGTCTTTTTACCTCTAAGAAAACCCTAAACAAATTTCTTGACTAATTAAAGACCCAAAGTAATCAGATTTTCATCTCATCATTCTCTTCTCTCTCAAACCCTAAGAAAAAATCAAAGTAGAAGCCTTCATTCAAGATTCTTTCAATCTTTTTCAAGATTCTTCTTCAAGATAAGTCTTTCTCCAAGAATTTCATTCTTTCCAACTCAGATTCCTCCATACAATTATGATTCATTACTGAAAATCATAATTTTTTTTGCCATAAAGATTTCAAGAAACTAATTCAAGAATCTCAAGAAACGTTTTCTTGAGTGTTTACCTTCAAGCTAGGGTTTCAAGGCGCTTCTAATCAAGTTCTTCTTCAAGATTCTTCAACATTCTTCCAGAACGTTGTTCTTCCAGGTATGTAAGGCTATCATAGTGTTGGACTAGTTTGTCCTCACTGCCTACATCTACTTTCAAATCAGTAAAAGAGAAATCTAGGATTCTACCCCTAGATTTGGATATTCTGGAGATGAGTTTATTTTGACTTCTCGAGTTCCTTTTTATTTTTTGGAAATTCTATTCCTAATTATTGAATTGCTATATGTTATGCATTAAGATTCTTGAGTTGATTCGTTCATGTCTATAATTCAGCATGAACCCTATGAATCGAGTATTTTTGAGATGAGTAGCATCGTTGAGTTTCCATATTGCTATTAAAATCCCTGAGTTGAGTCGTTCATGTCCATAATTCAGCATGAACCCTATGAATTGAGTTATAAATCTTGAGAAGCTTTTTAAAGTAAACACTTGAGTTTAAACTGAGTTTTTGAGGAAGTAAAGATGAGTTTTGAGAAAGAGTTTCTATAACATGATTAGTATGACAATCGAGTATGCCATCAATGTTTAAGAAATATGGTATCTAGTTATGCCATCAATGTTTATGCAGTATGACTTCCCAAGTCATTAATGATCATATCACAATATGATTTTGATATATTTTTAGAAAGAGTTTTCAAGTATGAGTCGAGTAAGAGTATAAGGGGACTGAGTGTTCCCAAAGGTATCAATTTTTTCATTGATAAAAGAGAAATTTTGATTTCTAAATGAGTTATGAGTTTAAAAGATATTTCAAGAGCAGTTACCTCGTTTAAGAGGGTAGTTTGAGAAATTATCTCAAACTAGAGGAAGAGTTATACTTTTTAAACATATGAGCATGAGTATATATTATTGGGAGTAGTATTAAGAATCGATATGGGGATGAGTTCAGACAACTCAAAGTCCTCATAAACCATGTATGCCAACATAGGTAAAGGATCATACTTTTTAGATGATTCCTTATTACTTTTTTAGCATAGCTTAGTGGATCCACTTAGTTGAGGTGTCCTATATTCCGGCAAGATATAAGACAGTTCTGGCAGCATGGCGAGACTTTGTGTCATCATGTAGCTCATTGTGATGGTTGTCGGCTAGAGAATCTCCCAATAGAGTTTAAGTATATTTTTATATATCACATATTATGTTGAGTTAAGAGATGAGAAAGTATTTTTCAAAGCTTTAAATGATTTAACTCTTTTATTTCTTTACATTAAGCTTGAGTACATTGTTATCTATTGTCGTCCTTTCTTTCAGTTATTTGTTACTAAGCCATATTACATGCTCGTACATTCAATGTAATGATGTCATACGACCTGCATCTTTTAATGATGTAGATATAGGTTATTAGGATCCTTAACAAGAGTCTGTTGAGATCACTTCATCTGCTCCTCTTCTTATGAGTGAGACCTCCTTGCTTACAGAGTACTTCAATTTTATGAGTTGTTAGTAGTAATTCTTTTGAGGAGTCGTGGGTCTTGTCTCGACACTCATCTTTGTATAGTAAAGACCTCATAGATAGACAGTTTTGGAGAGTCTTTTAGATTCACATATTCTATTTAAAACTTATGTTTCGTACTCAGTATATTCGGTGAAGTTTTGAGATTCGGTAAATTGTTTTTTAAATGTTTCTTTCAGTTTGATGCTTATGTATGCTTGAGTTAGTCTTCCGCTTGTAGTCAACTGGGATGAGGGTTCCCTTAAGGACCAACAATGGTTCTCGAGTGCCGGCCACGTCCAGGGTGTAGGCTTGGGTCGTGACAAACTTGGTATCAGAGCATAGAGTTCAAGCATCTTAGGTTGTCTATGAAGTCGTGTTGGTAGAATCTTATTTATGGTTGTGAGGGCCCCACTTCTATAAATGAGGGACTACAAACACTTAAGAAAAGCTTTCCTTCTTTCATACTCTAAATCGTGTAGTAGAACTGTGCCACAAGGAATTTATTCTCACTTGTGCGTCCTCATATTCATTTAACTACCCCTCATACTAAAGGTGGTTGAAAAGTAAAGCCCAAGATCCTTACGGATGAGTTATTTTTAGAAATAGTCTTGAGGAAGTCATGAGAGTCCAGAGGGGCTTGAGAGAAGCCCATGAGTGAGTTAAGTGTTGAGTTTTAGAG